TTAGCAAAGGAGACAGACAAGATAAAATAGTATGATTAATAAAAGCACCATCCCAATAAAATGCCATGATTAGGACACCTTGTGCATATCACATGGCTGATTAGAGATTTGGCAAACCATGAGATTTAAAAGCACTCAATTGAGTGTTTTCACTGTGAATTGCCCCTATTTTTTCCCACCCTTTACATCCTGCATATGTAGCCATTTGTATGACTTATCATTCCAATTTAATTACTATTTTGTTAAAGGAAAACATTTTCAAATAATTATGTGGAAAAAATATGTATACAATTTTATAATTAGGGAAGGTTGATAGAAAGGTATATCAGATAGAAGGCAGATGAGGAAAAATGGCCAAAGGCATGTATACTTCAGATTGGGACAGAAGGAGAAAAGCTGAGAGAAGGTTGGCTGAGAGACCAGTGCAGGTGTGTGGATGGGAGTGGGGTTGGGAGTGACAGCAGGCCAGAGGGAGTACTGTCATACTTGATTTTATATCCCAATTTATGGTTTGCAAAAGTGGCAAGACTTGGTTTTTATGTAACATTTGTAAATCAGACACTCCGAGTGTTACCTAGCAATTTATTTTTCCTTTTGAATAATTTACAAAAGCTTGATTTTTGGCAGGTTGATGGTGTGGCCCAGGACAGTGTCCTCCAAGTTCTAAGGGAGTCTAGAAAAGAAACTAGGATTTCAGTGCCCAAATAGGCTCCCTTCTTCATGTCTTCCGTCAGCTATCCATAGCCTAATACATCAATCACAAGTGAAGGCATGTATTTCAGGCCTGATATGTGGGTCACTAGGCAAGAAAGCAACCTGTACAGGACTCCAGGGTAGAGAGAGAGGAAGTGAAAAGACCCTCTTCACCTTGTAATTTCACATATTTTGTATCCCATGATTCCAATTTTCTGGCCCAAAAGAAAATAATGACTCAGAATCCAGAGTCCTAGAATTAGAGGGTGTGAAAGCTTGGACCTTAAGACATAGATGCTTGCCCTACCCGACTGTCAGGTAAGCTCTGCATTGTGTGATCACACAGATATTGTGTAATGCTACTGTTTTCTCCTATAACTATTTAAAGTGAAAAGAGAGCTTTTCACATTTTGTAATGACATGGTGACATATGAGGCAGCCGTTTTAAAATGAATTACATTTGAATACGTACTCACTCAGATATCTTTTGCAAAAAAGCTTGAATGAGAAACAGGTGAGATAGGATTCATTAAAATCACCACTGGCTGTGAAATCATTTGTCAAATGCAGCATCTAGGAGAGGGACGCAGGCCTGTTACCACAAGTTCACATATAATGCATCGTAGTATTGAATTGGCAGGTTCTCCAATCCATTAGAAAATGGCTTCCAGTTCTTTCTGTTAAATTATCAAAAAAAGAAGAAGAGCTTGACCATGAAAAGCGAACACATTGCCCTTGAGATACTTTTATTTTCAACCAAATTATTATACTTGCCATGGACAAACTCTTGACTGGGATGTGCCCTAAGAGGTAAGCAGGACTGACTGCCTGGTTTTATATTCCAGCCTTGCCATGTGTAGAAGTGTGATGTTGGCAGATTACTTAACCTCTCTGTTCTCCTGTTTTCCCCTCACCTCCTATGAAGACCTACCTCTTTAGGTTAATATGAGGATTAAGCAACTTAATAAATAATAAATACTTATAATAATGCCTGGAAAATGCTATGTAAGTGTTAGCTATTATTATTTCTACCCAAGTCGAAATGTGATCATTGGGTAGAAACTTGGAAGAATGTGGTGGAAATAAATTTTTGACAAAGTAGATTTAAGGATATAGGGGGAACAACTATTTCATTTATAAGTAAAAAAGAATTGCAAACCTATTAATAAGAAATTGTAGCATAATATTTATTTCAAAAGATGTAAAAGACATTGCCTCATATGAAATGGATCACCACTGCCCATTTCTCTCTGGCTTGGACTATTGAAAAAAGAGAGAGAGAGAGAAACCGAGTGACCTTTTTTCTCTGCCTGAACATTGATTCCTTTAGCACCATAGAGCCATTGGAACCAGTGCCTTCTAGGCTGGCTAGAACAGCCTCCGTCCTTTATTTTTTTTTAGCAGATAACTAATCTTTACTCTTCCTAGGGCTGCCCCAAGCTCAGCTTCTTAATGTTAAACTTTGAATAGTGATGCCGTTCCCTGTGGCTTATTGTTATAAGAAATGTCAAGAATCCTTGGGCTACTGATTCTCAGTATCTGTCTAATCCAGCTAACTAACACTTGGAGGCTTAGAGCCAGAGCCTGGAATTTCGTACATAAAGCACAGTGAGGTTATCTGAGGCAAACTGGCCTGTGATGGACCTGAAGGCAAAGACATGCCTGAACATGCTGTGGCTCCATGGCATGGCTGCAGCACGGCAGCCTCCCCACGTGTGCCTGAGGGACTTTGCAGCGTGCCCCAGGACTCCTCGGATCACTTTTAATGACTGTGTCATGGAACTAACGTGGTGTCTCATGAATATACAGGTTGGCCATTTGCGGTAACTCCTGGGCTGGTTGGAAATAGTACTAATATCTCCGGAGTGCCTGAAAACTACTGGAAAAATACATGAAAGAATAGAAGCAAGTTTAAGGGAAAGGAAATATAAAAAAAGAAAAAGAAAAAAGCCCCACTACGAGCAAAGTGTTCATTTTCTTGCTAAGTTACCTTTTCTGCCCACCCCACACCACGTTTCCCATTTCAACCTCCACCTGACCACCAGAAGTTTCTAACACTGATCTGATCGTGTCACTCCTCTGATTAAACCCTTCTCTAGCACCTGTAAATCGAAGTGTAAATTTGTCAGACCTTCATTTTGACGTGGATATCAGGTACCCATTATACCTTGCAGGTTTCATCTCCTGTCTCCACCTCCCTGTCTGACCCAACCAGCCCCAGTCCCTATACCATATGTTCTAGCCACATTTAACTACTTAAAATTCCCTGAGCATGACAGGTGGCATCTTGTCTCCATGTCCGTTATGCCCTTACGCCTCCTGTTTCAGTGGTAAATGCTCCTAGATTTCAAGGCCTAGTTCAAACCACTCCAAAAATGAAGCAGCATTTCCCCCTTCTTTTTTCTCATTGTGTTTCTTTCAGAACTTTCTAAGATAATGTTTACTATTGATGCTTTTCTCTTTCCTCCAGTAGACTGTAAACTCCTCAGTATCAAGCCTGGATATTATTCACATTTCTGTTCATAATACCTAACTCAGAACTGCAGGTGTATGCAGTCAGAGAGGAATGAAAAAATGAACAAGCTTGCCTCTCTTTCATTTTCTATCCCCCTTTATTATTGTTCTCACCAGGGAGTCATTTTGCTAATCACAGGTGGCAGTTCTCACTACTCTGATACTGCATCCCTGCAAGAACTCAGATATAAATGAAAGTAAGGTACATCTCAGTGACTCCTCAAGAGTAAATGAAGGATGATCTATGGAAGCTCCTAACACAAAATTATAACCTTATAAAAACAGCTGCCCTGCCTCACCTGCTGTCGTCACTGCTGTTCCAGAAGCTGCTAGCAAATTCAGCTTTCTGATAACTCAGAAGCTATTCAGCAGCCTCCCTGCTGATTTGCTTTCTAGTGGAGCTGAATAGAAACCAGCTTGTAGTCAGAAGGCCTGAATTCTAGTCTTGGCTCTGTGGTTGAAATTCATATGACTTCCTATAGGAACTGAGTCTGTTTCCTTGTGTGCAAAATACGGAAAACAATCCTTTCTCCTGTTCTGCTGACCTTACTGGATTCTTCAGAGGATGTGAAGAACTTGAAATCACTTTATGAAATAGAAAATTCACCAGAGGGACAGAGAGTTATAATATAATATTGTTTATATCTTAACCCTGCCGGTCTGTTTTCCTCAGGAAGGTCAAATTAAATAAAGTGCCTGAAATACAGGCCTCTATTTATTCAGCAGTTATCAAGTTGACTCCAATGCCTGAGACCCGTTTTATAAAGCAAGTGAAAAACCAGCCTCTACCACCAGTAACCTGGAAGCTTTCCTACACTGTCCCTGTTCAAAGCATGTTGACCAGTTGTCACCATTGGTAGCATTTATTTGTGAGGCCACATGTCCAGACTCAGTTTAGCTACATGGGACCTGGGCATTGACTACAAGGCAAATAAAAGCCATGTCTACAAATATCTGTGCACCTATTAGAGAGGTGACTCACTAACCTTCATGGACAATCCTGGTTATATCCTTAGAGCAATGGTGTGGCTCTATGTTATTAGACATACAGAAGGACACATAATCTTATTCTGCTTAGAATAGAATGATAAATCTATTTTGGTTGAAGTCTTTAAAATAAATCTATTTTGGTTGAAGTCTTTTTTATAAATAACAAGGAAAGCTGTTGTAGAGAGTAATAACAGCTAACTCCTACAGAATGGTCACTATATACTAGGGACAATCCTTAACAATCGTCCTGCATTCTCTTAACCTGCACCAATCCTTTGAGGAAGGTTCTCTTGACAGCTGTATTTTACAGTTAAGAAAAATGAAGTCACAATGCTTGAGCGTGCAGAGACTGACTCCACAACCTGGATGCCTAACGCTATGTGTGATTGTGAGACTGTGTTTTAAGCAATAAGATGAAAATGGAAGCATTTTGTCCGTAGAATAATTTTGTGGTATTGAAATAGGAGAGTTCCCTGATTTCCTCTCACAAGACGTGCACCAGGGGTGCGACTCACCTGTTTGTGTCATCCCACAGCTCAAACACCTAGGGGGAGCTTGCAGATGGGCAGGTGCAGAGGCCAGGATAAGTGCTTTGGGCTCTCGGCCCTGCTGTAATGTCTAGGACTGGGTGCTGCAACCCCAGTGTTACAAAGCTCTTTCAGCTTTGCCATCTGCAGACGGCTTGAGTGTTAATCAGCTCAATGGACCCTCTGCCTTATCATAAGGGCAAATGGCCAGTGTGACAGCCTTCTGTGTCCTGAGCTCTTGCCCAGTGTCCCAGAAGAATCGGATCACACACAGGCTCAAAGGATGACTGCAAGGTTTTATTGAGTGGTGGAGGTGGCTCTCAGTGAGATGGATTGGGACCCGGCAGCCGGGATGGAGTGGGACGGTGATCTTCCCCTGGAGTCAGGACACCCAGCAGCTGGACTCTTCTCCAACTGCCCCCAGCTGAACTCCCCTCGGCCTCGAGACGTTCCTCCTCTTCTCTCTTTCTCTGCCACGTTGTTCTGCCATCACTGGTCTGCTGGTCTGCTGATCTGCTGGTCTACTCTGAAGCTTGAGGTTTGGAGTTTATATAGGGGCAGGATAGCGGGTGTGGCAGGCCAAAAGGCAACTGTTCGGGCATGAAAACAGAAATACCTGTTCTGATTTAGGGCTCCGGGTATCTAGGCTTGAGGGTGGGGCCTTTGCCGGGGAACTGCCCTTTTCTACCCAGTATGTCCCTGTCCTGTCTGTATCAGTATTTACAGAAAAGGGAGTTGACGCAGCTGAGAGGAACATCCTCTTTCCTTCTGCTTCTTCATTTCTGTTGTGTGACACACAAACACGAAGGCAGAGCTCTGGTAGTTGTATTGGACCATGAAGTGACCTTATGCAGAGAGACAGAAAAAGCCTGAGTTCCTAATTACTTTTTTGGAGTATTCATGTCAGCACTGCTACCCACTTTACCTTCTTTTATACTAGAAGAATAAATCTGAGAGTTTAAGTAAATGCTATTTTGGTTTTCCTCTTACATGCAACTACAACTAATCCTAATTGATATGAAGATTACCTGGTTTGGCTTCTGTTTCATAGACATTTCACTGAGGATTAGCATTTCAACTACAGGGAAGTTGCAAACTTAATCCTGTTCACTTTGCTTACTTTTCAATACAACTGAGAAGAAAAATTTTAGTCCGGAAAAAAGGCTGAATTTATTGATTAAAATAAAATCTGGAGGTTTCTTTCTTTTTCTAGCCCAAGTTAAAATAACTAGTCAAGAACTAATTGGATTTGAATCCTACAAAGAGAAAGAAAGACAGCCCTTTTCATCTTCTTTACTCACAGGGTAGTGTTGTAGGAAAGATCCAGGCTCTTGTCACACAACCTGGATAATGTAGGCATGTGGACACATTGTAGGGTGAGTAGGACAGCGTATATTGGGTGAAAAAAAAAAGGGAAGCAGGAACCCTCAGCAAAGTGAGATAGAGTCCTGCTAGCCAGTGTCTCGCCCCACAGATTGAACCCCAGGTTGTCACATAGGAACAGGAGAAGCAGGCTCCTCGCCCCCGCAAACAGCACAAACTTCTGGAGGCGCCAGTCGTCTTCCCAGTGCGCCCGCCGGTCAGAGATTCTCCAGCCACCCCTTTTTACTTGGCTGTCTCAGTAGGAGGTTTGTCCTTCCTTAGATAACAAGTATTTTCTATTCTATTGTTGTAAGTTATGCAAATTGCCCACGTTGAGCCTAGTTACGTAAATCAATTACTGCTGGCCAATAGTCAAACTGGAATTTGCCTGGGTCTAGGGTAACTTATGAAATTATAAAACTCAAGTACATTTCTGAGGTATCTCTAACTTTTGTTTCAGAACACTGTGAAATATATCCATTCACAAGTGCTTTGAGGAGACTGATTTCTGGCACAGTAGTATGAGAAGCTCCAGGGACCTGTTTTCCAAAAAAAACTTGCAAAAATTATTTTTTAAAAGACAAAACAAACTTTTGAAGCCTCTCTGGAAACGGTCATAAGGGTAAATAGCAAATGATGAAACATCTATGAACATATGGTAAGAAAGATGAGAGTCTGTGGTAGCTGAACAAAGATTGCTTTTTTCCTTTTCCCTCCAAGCTAAGCCAGGTGCAGATTTCTGCAACCAAGAATACAGAGCCCCTCTCCCTTTTGCTCCCAGCTAGAGAGCTTCTTCCAGGGAGACGCAGGAATTTATCATTCTGCCTTCAGCTGCTCATTGCTGAGCTTAAATCCGAAGTTGGTGTGATCGCGTGGAGGCTCCACTTCTCCACCCAATTTCCACTCATGGATCTGAGACTCCACCTTGAGTGTGATATGCTTAAAATACTGCAGCCCCCTAAAAGCCCTCTGCTAGTGAGGTGCTAGTTTCACACTAAAAGTGACAAACCTAGAGGACCCCAGACTATTGAATCTCTTCCCCTTCCCCTTAGCTCTCAGCTTCTAGAGTGGCGTGTCACTGGGAAAAGAGCTTGCCATTGTCCCCACCTCCACTTCCAGAGCCCCGGCTCAGAGGTTTTGCCTGGAGAAGAAGCCAGCCATGTAACAGATCACGCCTAATCTCTTCCCTAAAGCTGACTTTAGGTGCAATGATACGTAGAGAAGTTTAGGGCCACTCTGCGGATAGTAGAGGTTGGAGTACTAGAAAGTTGGGAGGAGATCCGTGGGTCTAGTGAAGATACAGCCTAGACTGTAAGCCAGCCACTGTGCAGGAGAGAGCCAGGGAATAGGACAGCTGGGAGAAACACTTCTAGAGTTAAGACAAATACCAGACTTTTACCTCGGAAACTGTTCTGTCAGGGTTACCTCGGAAACTGTTCTGTCAGGGAACTGAAAGTTGATCAGACTGGTTTGAGGAAGAATTTATCCTCAGAGCATTCTTGAAAACAACAGAACTCTCAATGGGCAAGTAACAGCTAGAAGGTCAGTAGAGATTAACAGCTGGATATGGTCAGGAAAAGAGTAGAACATAGTGAACATAGACCAAGTTCCATCTCCCTGAGCACAAATATCAGAGGCTGAACGCTATGGAGCTGACAGGCTAGATTTAACTAAACCTAGGGAGTCACTCAACAGATAAACAAATAAAGAATAATTAGAAGCCCCAGAGTCCTGGCAGTACCCCGAATTGCTACCATCTAAAGTGTTTAGTTTCTAACAAAAAATTACAAGGCATGAAAAGAAACAGAAAACTATGATACACCTAAATAAAAGAAGGCAAGAGAAACTGCCTTTCAGAGTGACCAGATGTTGTAACTGCCCAAGGGGTTCACCTTGCCCTCTGCCTAGACAGAGCTGATTTATCAAGACAGGGAATTGCAGTAGAGAAAGAGTTTTATTATTACTCAAATCAGTCTCCCCGAAAACTCAGGGATCAGAGTTTTTAAGGATAATACGGTGGGTAGGGGGCCGGTGAATCAGGAGTGCTGACTGCTGGGCTCGGGGATGAAATCATAGGGAGTCGAAGCCGTTCTCTTCTACTGAGTTAATTCCTGGGTGGGGGCCACAGAACTGGCTGGCAGGTCCAGGTGGGGCTATCTGGTTGTTAGAAATGCAAAAACCTGAAAAGACATCTCCAAAGGCCGATCTTAGGTTCACAAGTGTCACCTCGAAGAGAAACTGGGGAGGCTGCAAATCTTATGACCTCTGGAATTATGGCTGGTAATATTTAGAATTCCAGCTCCTCTCATCTTGACTTGGTGGCTGGTGGCCTTTCATTTGTTTTGCAAGAACAGTTTAGCCTTTTGGGAAGGGCCGTTATATAAACTATATACTAAATTCCTTTCCAAAGCTAGTTTGGCCTATGCCCAGGAATGGACAAGGACAGTTTAGAGGTTAGAAGCAAGATGAGGTCAGCTAGATCTGATATTGTTCACTGTCATAATTTTCTCAGTTATGATTTTTGCAAAGTCGGTTTCAATGTCAGACTAACAGAAAATGATTTTAAGGCAGTTATCACAAATATATTCACAGAACTAAAGGGAAGCATAATTAAAGAAGTAAAGGAAAGCATGATGACAATATATCAAGTAGAGAATACCACTAAAGACATACCAGTTACTAGAAATAACCAAATGAAAATTCTGAGGTTGAAAAGTTCATAATTGCAATAAAAATAACTAGATGGGCTCAACAGTAGATTTTATCTGGCAGAACAAAGTACTGGTAAAGGAAATTAAGAAATTATAAAAGAAACTATAAATGCATGTGTTTCCTCTTTCTTCTGCTAATAGATTTAAAAAGCAATTGTATAAAATAATATATATATCAGCTGGGTGTGGTGGCTCACACCTGTAATCCTAGCACTTTGGGAGGCCGAGGTAGGCAGATCACCTGAGGTCAGGAGTTCAAGACCATCCTGGCCAATATGGTAAAACCCTGACTCCACTAAAAAGAGAAAAAATTAAGCAGGTGTGGTGGTGCACGCCCGTAGTCCCAGGTGCTCAGGAGGCTGAGACAGGAGAATCGCTTGGATCTGGGAGGCAGAGGTTGCAATGAGCCAAGATTTTGTCACTGCACTCCAGCCTGGGAGACAGAGCAAGACTCCTTCTCAACAAATAAAAAATAAATAATACTAATAACATGTATCTAATGTATTTTGGAGACTATAACAATCATATAGAAATGTAATGCATGTAATGTATTTGCCAATAAGAGAACAAAGAAGATGAATGGGAGCAAAACCATATTCCCTAAGGAAATAAAGATAGACAGTAAATTAAAATTATAATAATATATTGTCAGGTTTTTAACATTAATAGATATGTATGACAATACCACAAACAAGGAGGAGAAGGGAATAGAGAGCTAACAGAAGTAACGTTTCTTTACATTACTAAAATTAAGCTAGTATAAATCCAAAGCTGATTCCAATAAGTTAAAATTCGTGTAGGAAACTTTAGAGCAACCATTTAAAAAAAAAAAAACCTCAAAATATATGATGGAAAAAATAATGGAATTAAAATGCTACATTAGAAAACATTTACTCAGTGCAAAAGAAAGCAGTAAGGGAAGAATAGAGTAACAAAAAAGACAAAAGACATGGAAAACAAAAAGTAAAATGGCAGACATATCTAAATATAGAAAAAATAAAATGTGAATGGATAAATAACCCAATCAAAAGGTAGTTATTTTCGGACTAGACAAAAAGCATACTCTAAAGCCTGTCTTATGTAGATCACATATAGTAGATGAGCATGTCTTATGTAGATGACATATAATAGATGATAGTCTACTATATGTCATGTACTATATGTCATCTACATAAGGCACACTAGTCATATCTAGTAGATGACTACATGTCATCTACATAAGACGCACTTTGGATTCAAAGACACAAAAAGATTAAAAGTAAAAGAAAGGGAAAAGATATATTATGCAAACAGCAATCTCAAAAAAGCTTGAGTGGCTATATTAATGTCAGACCAAATACATTTTAGAATACAAAAATTACTAAAATAAAGAGGGACATTTGATAATGATAAAAGGATCAATTAATGAGGAAAATATAACAATTATAAATATGTATGCACCTAATAACAGATCACAAAAACACATGAGAAAAACTGACAGAAATGAAGGGAAAAGGAGAAAGTTTAACAAGAGTTGG